TTTATAAAATAGGCCAATTAATAATCGCAGTCAGTTAACAAATCCATGTAAGATTTTCATAAAGATCGGAGATCAAGTGGAACTGAGCCTGAAATGTGTCCCTAAATGGTAGTTACTGTTGTCTTTATGGACTCTGGAAATAATTTCCTTTCTGAATCTACTTAAAGCAGAGATGGTAAATTCAAATATTTCCTCAAGTTGCTGTAAGTGTCATTTTAAGATGACAGTGACTCAACTCCCCTTTCCTTACAACATAATTGAAGAAAAAAAAAAGCTTCAGGCATTGGTCCTGGGTCCTGCACTCGGATGAGGCTTCAGTGTTCCGCCCAATCTCATGGAAGTTCATTCTCTTAGTGCTGAAGCTGCACACAGATGAAGATGCTCAGCTGCCACTGGAAGGGAGCATACAGGCAAGACCCATCTTTCTGGCAGCCTAGAAGAAAGAAGGAAAGTGCTACACTGTGCATCATTTTAGGTGCTCAGCTCTCAATGTACCGCACATTAACTCAATAATCCTGACAACCACGCCAATGCATTAGGTAGTGTTAGCAAAATGGTTAGGAGAAAAGATTCTGCCTGCCTTCCAATACTGACTTCACAACTCACTGGGTGTCCTTAGGCTAGTTACTTATTATCCTCTCTGACTCAATGAGACTTATCTGAAAACTCAGGATAATATTAATGCCTACCTCCTGGGGTTATTGTGAGGCTTGTGTATCAAATATTCTTAGCATAATTCCTGCCACAAAGTAAGCACTGATTAAATAATGTTGTTGTTGTATAGGCAATAGTAATTATCTTGCATAAGACCAAATACCAGTAAGAAGGTAGAAATCCTGGTCTTCTGACTCTAAATTCCAGGCTTTTTCTGTGACCATGTGTTACTCCACTGAATGTTTATTGTTTCCTTAAATGATTCAAATACCATAGTACGGTTTGTGCTGTTCTAGGAACACTGAAGTATTCTGGTTAATTATACAGAACTACAAAGACAGGAGAATCACTTTTAGCGACCACTATTAGCAGAATATAATGCTATTTCACTTTGCACTGGCTTGAGAAAAAGACCCCACATAACAGACCATTTCGGAGATTCCCAAGAGCTATACTTTCCAGGAGTTATGTTTCTTTGATATCAAAACCAGTGTCACACCCGCCAGCAGAAAGGACTGTCCATTTCACTAGACTAGAGTCTACATAATATTCTCTCTTTTGTGCTAAGTGGTGACAGCAACTGTTTATCTCCCTTTCTAAGTTGTTTTCTAATATTTTGTTTCAAATTCCTCCAAACAAAACAACTTAACAGCTGGAAGTCACCCTAGCTTTCTGGTTCACTGCCTACTTGGGCACAAATAACCGGTACACTGGCTCCCACTAGGCCTGGCACAGTTCCAGGCTCTTTGGGTACTGAACCTCTTGGAGTCCATAAAGGTAATTTTCCAGACAAACTTGATTTAACCTGGTATGAACTTCAGACGATGTAGCTTTGGGGAAACTCACACTGACTTTCTCACTTCATTTCAAAATATGTTTTTAATTGTCAAAAAGAAACATTCATGAACATAGACCATATTCTTTTTGGGTCATAAAACAAAATAAAACATTCCAAAGAATTTAAGTAATGTAAAGTGAGTTCTCTGAAAATAATGGAATTAAACTAGAAATCAATAACAGAAAGATATCTTTAAAAATTCCCAAATAGTTGGAAATTAACACACTAGAAAAATAACCCATGAGTCAAAAAGGAGGTCACAAGGAAAATATTTTTGGGCCGGATGCGGTGGCTCACGCCTGTAATTCCAGTACTTTGGGAGGCCAAAGCAGGGGGTCATTTGAGGTCAGGAGTTGGAGACCAGCCTGGTCAACATGATGAAACCCCGTCTGTACTAAAAATATAAAAATTGACTGGGCGTGGTGGTGAGTGCCTGTACTCTCAGTTACTTGGGAGGCTGAGGCCGGAGAATTGCTTAAGGTGGGAGGCGGAGGTTGCAGTGAGCCAACACTGCACCATTGCACTCCAGCCTGGGTGACAGAGTGAGACTCCATCTCAAAAAAAACAAAAAGAAGAAAATATTTTGAAATGACTGAAAATGACAATACAACATATCAAGATTTTTGTTATGTATTTAGAGTGGTGCTTACAAGGAAAATTATGGCATTAAAGGCTTATATTAGAAGGCCAGCTTTGGTGGTTCATGCTTGTAATCCCAGAACTTTGGGAGGCTAAGACAGGCAGATTATCTGAGCTGAGGAGTTGGAGACCAGCCTAGGCAATATGGTGAAACCCTGTCTCTACAAATCATACAAAAATTAGCCAGGCATTGTGGCACACCTACTTCGGAGGCTGAGGCAAGAGGATTGGCTGAGCCTGGGAGGCAGAGGTTGCATGAGCCAAGATCTCACCACTGAACTCCAGCCTGGGTGACCGAGCAAGACTGTCTCAAAAAAAAAAAAAAAGAAAAGAAAAGAAAGAGCTTATGTTAGAAAACAAAATAGGTCAGGCATGGTGGCTCATGCCTGTAATCTCAGCACTCTGGGAGGCTGAGACAGGAAGATCACTCGAGGCAAGAGTTTGAGACCAGTCTGGGCAACATAGAGATACCCCCATTTCTATAAAAAACTAAAAAATATTAGCTGAGTAGGGTGGTGTGAACCTGTAGTTCTAGCTACAGGAGAGCCTGAACCCAGGAGTTTAAGGTTGCTGTGATCAGGCCACTGCACTCTAGCCTGGGCAACAGTGAGACCTCTACACACACATGAACACACACACACACACACACACACAGCTAAAATTAATGATTTAAGCCTCCATCTTAAAAAAGAAGAAAAGAAAAAAAAAAAACTAGAAAAAGTAGCTAGGCTGGGCATGGTGGCTCACACCTGTAATCCTAGAACTTTGGGAGGCTGAGGTGGGCAGATCACCTGAGATCAGGAGTTTGAGACAAGTCTGGCCAACATGGCGAAACCCTGTCTCTACTAAAAAACACTAAAATTAGCCAGGTGTGGTGGTCATGCCCGTAATCCCAGCTACCCGGGAGGCTGAGGAAGGAGAATCACTGGATCCCTGGAGGCGGAGGCTACAGTGAGCCAAGATTGCACCACTGCACTCCAGCCTGGGTGACAGAATGAGACTCCAGCTTAAAAAAAAGAGGTGAACACAAAGCAAGCAGAAGGAAGGAAGAAAATAATAAAGAGATAAAATAAGTAAAATTGTAAAACAGAAAAACAATAGAGGAAATGGATTAAATCAAAAGCTAGTTTCCTTAAAAGATCAATAAGATTGATAGGCCTTAGTCAAAGTGAGGAAAAAGAAAAAATTTACCAGTATCAAGAATAAAATCTAGAACACTACTATAGCTCTTACAGACATTAAAAGGATAACAATGTAATAATATTATATTGAACAAATTAATGACCATAAATTTATTTAGGTGAAATAGATGCCTTAAAAGACACAAACTATCAAAGTTTTCTCAAGAAGTAGACATCCTGAATACCCTATATTTTATTTTAAAAACAGAATTTGTAATTACAACAATTTCAATAAAGACAACTCCAGGCCTAAGTGGTTTTACTGGCAAATTCTTCCAAATGCCAGGTGCGGTGGTTCACTCCTGTAATCCCAGCAGTTTAGGAGGCTGAGGTGGGCGGATCACCTGAAGTCAGGAGTTTGAGACCTGCCTAGCCAACATGCTGACACCTCGTCTCTACTAAAAATACAAAAAACATTAGCTGTGAGTGATGGCACGTGCCTGTAATCTTAGCTACCTGGCTGGCCAACGCAGGAGAATTGCTTGAACCTGGGAGGCAGAGGTTGCAGTGAGGTAAGATCACGCCACTGCATTGCAGCCTGGCTAACAGAGCAAAACTCTGTCCCAAAACAAAAGAAAAATTCTTCCAAACATTTAAGGAATTAATAATACAAATTTAAGGTAAACATCTCTAGAAAATAAAAGGGAAGGGAAACACTTCCCAACTCATCTTCTGAGATCAGCATTATTCTGATACCAAAATTAGCAGATACTACAAGAAAACTATACATCAAAATGTGAATGTAAAAATTTCCAATAAAATATTACTGATCAAATCAGCAATATATTAAAATGACAGAATCATAAATAAGTTGGGTTTATCACAGGAACGGAAGGTTGGTTCAACATTTAAAAATCAATGTAATTCACTGTATCAACAGACTACATAAAAAAATCAGGTGGTGCACACCTATAATTCCAGCTACTCAGGCCTGGCAGAAGTGGGAGGATTGCTTAGGCCCAGGAGATCAAGGCTACAGTGAGTAGTGATAACACTACTGCACACCAGCCTGGGTGACAAAGCGAGACTCCCTCTCAATTAAAAAAAAAGAAAAGAAAGAAAATGTATGTGATGATCTCAATAGATGAAGAAATGCATTTGATAAAATTCAACATCCATTCATAATTGTTAAAAGCAAACGAAAACACACATCTAAGCAAACTAGGAATGAAAGTGAATTTTCTCAGCCTCCTATTAATAAAAGGCTCTGTGTTAGATACATATGGCTGCATAATAAATTACCCCAAAACAAAACAGCAACACTCGGTTTCTCGAGGTCAGGAACCCCAGTGTGGCTTAGCTGGGTGCCCCTGGCTCAAGGTCTCACAAGGCTGAACTTGAATTGTCAGGGGGGCTACAATCTCGTCTGAAAGCTCACTGGGGTTGGGTGGTGGGGGAGATCCACTATCCTCAAACGGCTACATACGGTCTGATTTCATTTTTATGACATTCTGGAAAAGGCAAAACGAAAGAGACAGAAAACAGATCAGTGGTTCCCATTTGCAAACAGTTTCAGTTCACAGACCACCTCTAGGTCTTCCCTGTACTGGATTTCCAGAGCAGTCACCAGTTCTCTCTCCTCAGCTCCAGGCTCCTTTCTGAACCCTCCTTGGAGTTACATTTAGTAGTATGCTGCTTGACACGGGATTGGCCCCTGTTTCACAGACACTGTGTTAATTTTCTCTACTCGAGAACTGCTCCCGGGGCAAGTACCCACGTCGATGCTGGCACTGGGAACGGGGCGGATGATAAAGTGTGAGGCAGTCTGCCCAGTGGCAACTGACCTGATCTCATGATTTCCTCAGGTCCATCCGATTCCCGCCAACATGCTCAGACCTGAGCAGTAGGAGTCGGCTGGGAGAAGGATGGGGGAAAGGAATCGAAAACAGTTGAGGCAGGCTCTGTAAGCTTCCGCCTCCCACACTAAAAGAGTCGGACAGCAGAAGACTGCAGTGGAACCTTCCCTGCTGGGAGAGTAAAGTGCTGACTTTAACCAGTTTCTGCGGCCTCGCCTTCCTCTTCTTTCCTTTCTCCCTCTCATTCATTCACTGACGCCGCAGCGCAGATCAGCACCCGCACAGAAGCGGCCTCCAAGGGACTAAAGGGAATAACCGCGGCTCTGAGGTGTGGGGACTGCGGCTGCGGGGAAATGTGGGCCGCGCAGGAGGGGCTCCCAGCGCAGGCGTCTGACCCGCAGACACCGTTACGGCCTGCGGGAGTCTGCAAATCTAGCAGGTCTGCTCTCTCGGGAGCTGTACGTGCAGAGACTCGGCCCGCGGTCAGGACAGCTCCCGTGGACGGAGGGAGGCCCCCAGGGCCCTTCTCTGCAGCCGGGACCGCGCCCGGGCTGGGCCAGGCCGGGGGTGGGAAGCCGGGGCCCCGCGGCCCCGCCCAGGCCAACCCGGGGCGGGGGCCGGTTCCCATAGGGATCGCTGGCCGAGCCGCAGCGGGCCGAGCCGGGCGAGAGGGAGAAGGCGAGGCGGGAGCCAGGCCCGGCCCAGACCGCGGAGGCGCGGCGAGTCCCCGCCGGCAAGGAGGCGCGGGGCTGCCGGGGCCAGCACGTGGCGCCGCTCCAGGCTGCGCGGCGTGGCCGGGGTGTAGGTAGGGGCGCGGGAGGGTCTTCTGGGTCCCGGGGGCGCGGGCGCGGGGTGCGGGGTGGTCTCCTGCTGCCGGGCGTCGCCACCGCCCCCGCGGGAGCCGGCAGGTGTCTTCTTGCCTCAGGGAAATGAGACCCGAAATTAGAACCTGGGAAGCCCTTCGCCCTCCCAGTGCTCCAGCCAGCTCAAGTGTCTTAGGTCGGATGAACTATAGCGTTAAAAAGATAGATTGTCTTACAGCTCGGCTCGTTTTAGGAAGGCAGGTTACATTTTAACTTGCAGGGTATTTAACGGGTGATTAAAATCGGGTTACCCCAGGCAGCGAACTCTAGGCTGCTATTCCTGATCGCGTTGCCATTGCCGACACGGGTCCACTCCTCATTCCTTAACGCGTGCTGTTCTGTTCTAGACCCGTGACAAACACCCATCGTTGGAAGGGGCTCTAGTAAAGTCCGTTCGTGCCAATATTTATAAGCGACGTTTTCAAACAATGTGAAGATTCCCCCCCTTTTTTTTTCGACGGAGTCTCCAACTGTCGCCCGGGCTGTACTGTAAAGGTGCGATCTCGGCTCATTACAACCTCCGCCTCACGGGTTCAAGCGATTCTCCTGCCTCAGACTCCTGAGTAGCTGGGACTACAGGCGCCCACCACTACACCCGGCTAATTTTTTGCAGTTTTAGTAGAGTCGGGGTTTCACTATGTTGGCCAAGCTGGTTTCGAATTCCTGACCTCGTGATCCACCTGCCTTGGCCTGCGAAAGTGCTGGGATTACAGGCGTCAGCCACCTCGCCTGGCCGAAGATCCGATCCATTTTAAGATTTATTCCTCTATGATGGAGAAGTATGAAAAAATTGGGAAAATTGGAGAAGGATCCTATGGAGTTGTTTTCAAATGTAGAAACAGGGACACGGGTCAGATTGTGGCCATCAAGAGGTTTCTGGAATCAGAAGATGACCCTGTCATAAAGAAAATCGCCCTTCGGGAAATCCGCATGCTCAAGGTAATTGATTCACTTTTCCTTTTTTCCTTTTTCAAGATAGGTTCTCACTCTGTCACCCAGGCTGGAGTGCAGTGATGTGGTCATAGCTCACTGCAGCCTGGAACTCCTGGGCTCAAGCCATCCTTCTGCCTCAGCCTCCTGAGTAGCTGGGATTACAGGTTCTAGCCACTACTCCAGGCTCCACTTTTTCTTTTAAGTGAATTTTTAGGGATGAAAGAAATAAAATGAGTCATGTTATGTTAAAAGAATGTCATGGCACATAGTTATATCTTACTTGATAGCCTTTTGACTTCCGTGACACAAATGGGATGTTTGTGCACAAGTCACTAATTATATAATGAACTAGAAAGGAGAAACAAAAGTGCCAGGTAAGGTGGCATTCACTTTTAGAGATGCTGTGCAACATTTTATTTTTTTCCCAATAGTTTCTCTCCCACCTGTGGACCTGGCTTTTCAAGGGCCATTACAATTTGATAGTTTCGGGGTATAATAAAATTCATTTTTGCTAGCATTGTTGATTTTTAAACTTTTAAGGTATTTTCTAATGGTATATTCAGTCTGTTAAGAGACTTAATCATTTCCCTGTTTTCAAACTGCTAGGAAGCTCACAGGTTTTCATTACACCTCATATGTATTTACTGCTGAGCATCATCATGTCTTGTTTATAGAAAGAAGCATTCTCCTTAAATAAGTGAAATTATCACTTTCTAATTTTTTTTTTTAACTTTTTATAGAGAAGGGATCTCACTATGTTGGCCAGGTTTGTCTTGAACTCCTGGTCTCAAGCTATTCTCCCACTTTGCCATCCCAAAGTGCTGGGATTACAGGCATGATCCATCTGTCTGGCCTGATCACTTTTCAAATGTGTATTAGTTAACCCTAAAAATACCATATTGGGCTGAGGATGGGGGGGAAGGTATTTATTACAAGCTGAAAGTGTGCTTTCCTCTAATGGAGAGACTTCTTTACAGAACTTCTGTAAAGATGAAATCCAAATTGCAATGTGAAAGGGTATATGTAATGAATACGGTGGAGGTCAACTTTGTTTCAGTTATGGCTTCTGTGTTCTGACCTGTATAACTAACTACGTGACAAGAGCAACTTAGTGAGACAGAGATGAATGGAACTTCCAGGGGATTTACTATTATTCTTGCTTCTCCATTTTCTCCAGATCACTCTAAAAATCTTTTGCCCTTGGATAAGTGTGTGGGGTCACTTCTAGGTAAGGAACCTAAATGGGAAGTAGCAAGCTTTGGATCAATTGAAATGGGTGGATAACAGGGCAACTTTTCTATTTAGGTTTGGAATGTTCTTAACCAGCAGGATGTTATCTGTTGAGAGGGGATGCTTCCAAAGCTCCCCAGGGGAGTGCTCTCATAGGAAGGGGTGAGACTTGCAGTGTTTGACCATCCTCCTGCCTGGGTCACTCTCCCCTTACCCTCTGTACACAGGGAGGCTGTAGGGCATTTTCACTTTCTCAGGCTTTCCCTAGGAGAGGTAATCATGACATTTCAAAGGTTCATTTACTGAAAGAAAATCTGTTTCTTGCAAAAAGATACTCTTTTTCTGATTCTGAAGATTACTTTTGGGACCTCCCCTTTCAAATCTCTCACCATAATTTATCAATACTACATTCACAGTGATAGCTCCCCGAATTAATTGAGTTCTTCTAGGATGGAGACTGCCTCTGTATCTCTGTATCTCCAAAACACACTCGTTGGCATATCTAGGCCTCCAACAAATGTTATTATTGGATTGAAAAAAATAGTTAACAAAATAAGCTCCTAGGAAAGGTGGATTTGCCAATGAATTGGGAACTCAGATGTGTTCTCTTAACTGAACATTGATGTACTCCAAAGGATGGGTTTGTGTGCACATGAGCCTGATTTCAAAGCATGCAGCACCTCACTGTCCAGATTAAGTGCATAGATGTAGACACCCCTGATGTCTATGAAGTGGAGGGACTAGATTATAGGTAGAGTCTGTCCCTTAAAGCTGTAACTTTTCATTGTTGTGTGATATTCCTAACACATACTATGTACTACGCTGGGCATGGTGATGTGTGCCCGTAGCCCTAGTTACTTGGGAAGGAGGCTAAGGTGAGAGGATGGCTTAAGCCCAGCAGTTCAAGGCTACGGTGAGCTATCATTAGGCCACTGTACTCTAGCCTGGGTGATAGAGTGAGACCCTGTCTCTTATAAAGATACTTAGTCAATATCTGCCAAGTAGGTGAATTGAGAGTATGGGAAATAAACGTTTTATTTTCTCCATGAGAGTATGGGAAATAAACATTTTATTTTCTCCATTTATGTATTCAGTAGTCATCGAGCCCCAGTTGTGCCTAAAACAATGTTTCTGCAGAGTTGTACACTCTATCTTTCAGAAGCTCAGCTCTTGGAAAGGAGGTAGGATGAACTGACCTTTGGCTCTCACTCCTGATAGACTGGGTTCCCAGTGAGCAGGACATGCATACCCTTGCCTGGTAAGAACTCTTTAGGTGCTCCTTGAATGGTGAAAATAAAGTGATTGGGGACATGATTGAGCTGAACTTTGAAATGTTTAAGGAACGTGGCATGAGAGATAAGGCATTCAAGGAAATCACGGTGTATTAAGGGAACACAGTGTCTTGGCCAAGATGCCTAGTGGGTGCTAACAGGCCAGGGAGAGAAAGAAGGGGAAAGCCAGGGTCCAACAGGATCAGGTTGTTGAGAAATGCTGAGTGTATGATAAAATATATAGTTTGCTAAGAAGAACAATAGCAAGGAAAATCTAGCTGCCCCCACCGCAGCAAGTGATAAGTACATTTGTATGCTAATGGGGTAAATCCAGTAGAGAAAAAATCTTGATTTTGGACAAGGGAGAGAATTGCTGGAGCCATGACCTTGAGTTACTGACCTCAGCCATATTAACCATAAATATAATTGCATAAAAAAAGACAATTTAGGTTGGGTGAGGTGGCTCAGGCCTGTAATCTCAGCACTTTGGGAGGCCGAGACAGGCAGATCACCTGAGGTCAGGAGCTTAAGGCCAACAGGTGAACCGCATTTCTATTAAAAATACAAAACTAGTTAGGCATGGTGGGAGGTGCCTATAATCCCAGCTCCTTGGGAGTCTGAGACGGGACAATTGCTTGAAGCCAGGAGGTGGAGACTCCTGTGAACCAAGATCATGCCACTGTGCTCCAGCCTGGGCCACAGAGTAAGACTGCTAGATTCTTTATGTACACTTTCCTTAATCTTTCTGTAACAGGATCCACAGCTGACTCCAAGCTATGCGGTGAAACTTTTTCCACCAGGGTATTCACCGTCTTCTAGTTTGCATATGAAATATGGACCCTACATGAATTCGACTCCTTTCCATAACTTAGGTTTAAACACATTAAAGATGTATTGGATGAGAGGTAGGGTGGTCACAACTAGAAGTCAGGTTGCAGAGAGAGACAAGGTAACTGAAAGAAAATCACCTTAAATCAAGAAGTTAGGAGCTGGGCACGACGGCTTACACCTGCAATCCCAGTATTTTGGAAAGCCAACGTGTGGATCTCTTGAGCCCAGGAGTTCAAAACCAGCCTGGGCAACGTGGTGAAACCCAATTTATACAAAAAATAGAAAAGTTAGCTGGGTGGGGTGGCATGCACTCATAGTCCCAACTATCCAGGAAGCTGAGGTGGGAAGAGCACCTGAGTTCTGGGAGTCAAGGCTGCAGTGAACTGTGATTGTGCCATTACCACTCCAGCCTGGACAACAGAGTAAGACCCTGTCTCAAAAAAAAAAAAAAAAAAATCAAGAAGTCAGGAACGATAGGTTGATGCATCACAGGCCCTGTGGTGGAAAGTGGGCAGTGGTTCTGCATAAAGCAGGTAGATGCACTTGAATTCAACAAGCCCTTTGGAGGAATATCTGTGTGTCCCGCAAGGAGGGGGCTATGTGGTTCGAAACAAATACAAACCAACCAACCTAGAATGATTGTATTACTAAGGCCCCAAGCCCCTATGATGCTGAACCTTCTCTCTGGAATGAAAATGGTAGGAAGAGGAAGGAAAGAATTTCAGCTGCAGTGGCAGAAAAAGTAGATGTTTCTAGCAGTTGGAGGTGAAGGACAGGACAATATCATTATGGGATCTCTGGGTAGATGTTCTACCTATGGCAGATGGTATGGGGGCATTAAAATATATTAGACCAGCATCAGTCAAGGGCTGAACGCAGCAGCTGGGACATTGTGACAGCTCTCCCTCCAGAAGACATAAAAAACGAGAGACAAGAAGAAGGAATCATCTGCTCCGTGGCAGGTAGGGGCAAGGGACCTAGTAGATTTGGACAAACTGCCAAGTATGTTTGTAACTTAGGATGCACAAATTACACTAATGACAACCTTAGAAGGTAGAGATTGTTATCACATTTTACAAATGGTTTCGAGATGGGTAATGATTTGCCAAGGCCTCCTGCTCAGTGAGCTGGAATGCAGTCACAGTTCTGTCCCCAAGTTCATGCCATGCGGCTTGCCCACACCAGAACCATCCGTCACTTTACACCAAACACCATACTCTGAAGTCTCCCAATGACTGGTCCTCAGAATTTATACTGCCCTTTCTGCAGCAAGCTCTTAGCTGTGAGATTCGTGGCTTCCGTGGAAGGCTGAGTGCAGACGTGCTGGAGCAACGGTTCTTTCCGTATCTCGTTCCATAACCCTGTGGACTATTTTAGAAGGCTCAAAGTTACGGTTTGTCACCCACAAAGATGAGAATAAGCATGAGGGGAAATGTCCATTTGAAAATTAATTATAAATATTACAGTGGAATTCGGAAATTCATAATGGGAACAAGATCACGCATAAAGGGTGAAAATTGGTTCTTGGCAGGTAGCAAAAAAAATCTAACTTTTGTATTGTTTAAAGCACAGATATACATGTGGTTCATATACAGATATATAGTATTTTTGTGATGTTAAAATTTCATTGGCAAGTGATTAGGAAAAACTGTGTAAAATGACTCTTTAGAGGGA